CGCGGGTCGGTCAAGGGTCCTTGTGGCGCAGGGTGCGTGGAAGGCCCTGGATGGCACAGTGTTTGGGCCCTGGACAGGTGAGGCCTGCGGCTGCGGTTAGGCGCACCTTCACAAAAGACCAGGTAGAGACGCTTCGCCCTGCCCCTCTCAGTCCCGCGGCAGTGTGTTTTCTGCCCGATGGATCTCGGAGTGGAAGTGATCCGGGCCCAGACTCTTCCTGTCCACTGTATGGGGGGTCAGCCGGGCCAGTTCTTCCCTTGGGCATCCGCGGGGTTACCCGCCGTTTGCGGGCTCGGGCCTTTGCCCCCCTGGTGTACAAGAAAACTAGCTTCTTTATAAAGGAAGAACCCTCGTTCAGTGGCTTTTAAAACTCTTTCTAAAAATAAGGTAAATGTACTTTCTCAAAAGTATTTAAACTTGCCAGCAACACTGCCAAGCAGAATGAACCACATTGAATGGCAGAGAAAGGACATGGCGAGAGGACAGGAAGGTTTTGCAGGAAAATAACCCGATTTCAACATGGAAAAGAGAAAAGAGCTCACTGCTGCCCTCCCCGCCCCCCTTCTGAAACCTCCGTGCTTTCTAAACTGGAACATTTGAAACAAACCCTCTTCTCACCTGCTCTCACTGAGCCCCCGAAACATTTTTGTGGAAGAGTCCGCTAGCTGCGTGCACAGTGGCCCATTATGTGACTCAGCCACAGCACATTACAGATCCCTCATTGTTGGGCCCTTGGATGGCTTCCAGGCCTGGGTTTTGAAACAAAGCGATGTGAACGTCTTTGAACACATCACAGACAGTGGTGGACAGGTGTTTGATGACTTCCTGTGGATGGATTCCCAGCCGTGGGATTGCTGAGTGTGTAGGCTTTGAGTGCTCTTGATCTGACATGATCTGTTGGTCATGCAAAACGTGAAGACGCCTCAGGACGTTCTTTGAGAATATCTTTTTTGACTTGTGTGTATCAGAACAGGGATTCTTAACCTCTGCTCCTGGAATCCTAAAATGTAGGGGCTGGGAAATTTGGGAAGGGAGAAAAGGCAGCACTTTGATTGACACGAAGTTCGAAGTGAGCGTTTCTTCGGGGTTAAGTTTAGGCAACAACACACTGAGGTGGTATTCACAAATACCCGTGGGTTTGTCTGTGATCAATTCCAGGTCGGCCTGAGCCATGGTGGCCTTAGGGGTTACGAATTGGGCTGCTAACCGCAAGGTCGGCAGTTTGAAACTACCCCCGGGGGAAAAGATGAGACTTTCTACCCCTCTAAAGAGGGCATAGGGGCAGTTCTGCCCTGCCCTACAGGGTCGATCTGAGTCGGCCTCCATAGAATGGATGATCTCAAGGAGCCGTGCTGTTTGAGTGATGCTAATTGCAAGGTCAGCAGTTCCAACCCACTTGCCTCTCCAAGGGAGAAAGATGGGGACTTCCAGTCCCAGAAAGATGTACAGCCTTGGGACTACAAAGAGACAGTTCTACTCTACCCTACAGGGGAGCTCTGAGTCAGAACTGAGTCCATGGCTTTGAGATTTTGTAAAAATTTTGGGGGTTTGTTGGTTTTGTGGCAGATTCCAGGTTTCATCCTGTGTCGCCCTCAGGACCCGTCTCCGAGGTGTTGGCGTGGGACTGGACCACTGTTATTTCGTATGAGACCTTGTTATTGGGAGGGAAGACCTTGTTTCATGCAGCACGTACGGTGACTGGAGGGAGGACTTCAGAAAGTTTGTGAAAAAAATGGACTGAAAGGTGATGGATGACACCCCACCCCCACCCCCGGAACTTCTCGAAGCCCTCTCATATCTGTAGTCAAGATGCTGTGGTGTGATTCTTGGGAAAAAATTTTTTCCACAAGATCCTTTTCCCCCTCCATTCATGCCACCGAAGTCAAACGGGAGCTCCTCTCTTCAGTTTCCATACAGCGGCTTTGCCCCTTTGCCGCAGACTGCGCTTACTCTCTAATGCTTAAGTGACCATGCTTCGGGCAAATCGGTTGCCTGTCACTCTTGCCCACTCAGGATTCAGAGGCAGGGAGGTGAGGCGGGAGGCTGCTGGCAGGCCAGCTGCTGCTCCCCTCCAGGCTGTGTGTGTGACCATCCAAGAGGGCAAAGATGGTTCAGAGGCTATCCCCAGCAGCCCGAGGGTGGGGTAGTCAGTGCCCAGCACACACCAGCTCGGTCCTGTTTCCCAGCAGACTGCAGGGTCAGGGCCACTCTTGGCTTCTAAAAGGTGATTGGTCATTGTTGGAGGAGGGCCACTGACGCCCAGTCCTTTGCCGGACCAGAATTGCTGCTCTCTGAAAGCGACCTGAGCCACGTGGGCTGAGGAAGGACGGTCCACAGAGACACACAGTCCAGAACCTCCTGGACAGCCACGATCTTACCAGCCAGGTGCGAGCACAGCGCGGACAGAGAGGGCAGGAGAGAGAGAGAAATGTATTTCTAAAGAAGGCTTATATATCTTTTGGGCGTGTGCAAGCCCTTTAATTACAGGTAAAGACATACATCACAGGAAGGGGTTGTACTATAGGTAATACAGTAATGAGGGGGGGATCTAAGGGTGTACATGAAATGGGAAGGGGAGGGATTGGGGGTACACATGTGACAAGATGGGCGAATCCTAGATTCATGGTGGCGGCCTAACCTTGATTGCCCTTGAGCTGAAGACTTGATGTAGTCTAAGCTTTCAGGGGAAGCCATCCACTGTTCCTAACAGCAAAGAGTGAGCCCTACCTGTGGCCAGACAGACAATAGGGTCTGCTTGCTCTGGATGGCTGGTGCCTTCACGGAGATAACTTGACAATCATTTACCATTTGTAACAAGCAGTGTCCTCGGTCTGACATCTGTATTTGGGGAAGAGAAGCTGGGGAAAAGTCTTTACATCCCACAGGGCTGGACTTCCGAGCGGTCTCTCCAAGGTTTGAATCCCAGAGTATTTGTGCTGGTGGCCCGTGATCTCCTTCGATCAGCCGTCATCCACTTGGAGACGACCCGTGTGCAGTTGAGCGATCCCTCCACTGCTGCGGGTTATTTTTCTGGGTGGTGCAAACAGTGAATGCCTTCAGCTATTTTGGAAAGGTTGAAGGTTCCAGTCTACCCAGAGGTGCTGCAGAAGAAAGGCCCAGGAAGCTACTTCCCCAAATCCTGCTAAGGAAAACCCCATTTGCACAGTTTCTTATTCAGACACAGATGGGGCCACAACTGGCATGGGTGTTTGCTGGCTTACTCCTCCTGCCATCTGATAAGCCACGCTGTATGCCCTCATTCTGCCCAGAGACACAAGGGAGTCCCTAGCAGCCTGGTGGTCTCCTTCCACAGAGAGTAGTGAACTTCAGCCAGTGAGGACTCCGTGGACCACAACATAACCCACAGGGACCACCAGGCTAGGGGCTGCCTCCACGGGTGGATTCTGCCCACTGTGTCTGCCGCTCCTGGGGAATCTTCTGTTGCCTCTGCAAGCATGGCTTGGGCAGGGATTGCAGCTGAGGACCCGGCCCATCGGGCAGCCAGCACCTGCACCCAAAGCTGGTACAGCAGGCTTCCGGCTGGCCCAGGCATGGCAGCAGGGACAGGATTTGTTGCAGTGGCCAGAGATTGGTATTAGGAGAGCAAGACCCCTTCTCAGACACCAGGTTTCTCTCGAGGCTGGGGCATCTGCGGACCACATTTTCATGCAATTGACACCCATAGGTCATGTTTTTGGCTGAAAACCAAAAAATTAGCCTAGGTGTTAGGAAAATGCCCTAGGAGGCAGTGGGGTGGTGGAAACAAACAGAAGGAGGGCTCTATGTTGTGTAAACAGGTACTGCTGGGGTAGAGCCTGTGTGGCAGCCTTGAAGCTGGTCCCGTCCATCCATCCCTGCCACCTGGGCTTCCTGCCGAAGCTAGCTTCCCTTTACTTATTCATTTTGTTAAAAGAAGTACGTGATTTATTGTCATTGAAAATACACAAGGCAGGGC